AAACCCTAAGTTATGCATAAAAACTCGAAACGAAGAACAAATCATCTTTCTTTAGATTAAACCACATTTTAAATCATTTTCAGATCTTACATACTTCTGTAAATTTGTTCTAAAACTTTTTAACATGGAAAGACCTAGTCTTTATACATATAATATAAAAGAATTGACTTTTATTCATAAACTAGTGAATTTGGCTCTATGAAACATGTTAAAAATTCTTCAAAATTGTTTTTAAAACTAGGAGGGGGATTAGCAGAGATGAACTCGCCTGAAACTTGTAGAAAAACATTTTAGGATGCCACGCCAAAGCAGATCTCCAATTCAAAAGCCAAAATCACTCGAAAAATCCACTTGAAAGCCTCCAATATTCTCTAAGAATCAAATTAGGGTTTATGGGGGTTTGGTGGCTGTTAGGGTCCTTAGAAAACTAAGAAAATTCGTGAAAGTTTGATATATAAACCAGGGAAAACAAATATGGGCTTTAGAAAACCAAAAGCAACTCAAAACAGGAATCTAACTTCTGTAGGTTTCGCGATCGACCGTGGCGGTCGATCAGACTGCTGTCGACCACGGCGGTCGACCAGACTGGAATTTTTCAGTTACACATATTTGGCCATTGTGCATGTTTCGATTCTTTTCTTTCTCATGAATGAACTTGTTTATACTCAAAACACATGGTATACTACTCACATACCATTTAACTGTATTTATAAAAATAAATATCTATAAATCATAATTTATCTCATATTAATTATATTAACATAAATTTTTAGGGTTTTACATTCATCCCCCCTTAAAAGAATTTCATCCTCAAAATTTCGCAGTCGCATCGCAGAGATTAATAATATGAGAAAAGCACAAAAAGGGGATAATCCAAACAAGGAAACCCTGCAGTCGCATCGCAGAGATTAATAATATGAGAAAAGCACAAAAAGGGGATAATCCAAACAAGGAAACCCTCACGTACACATCTCGTATCATTAATCTGGGGATAATCCAAACAAGGAAACCCTCACGTACACATCTCGTATCATTAATCTCCCGATTTGAAATATAATCAACATTTTAACTTAACAATCTAAAATGCGTACATTCTCACTTAACCCCTAATTAGATGGAAATAGTACGTCAGACGAAAAATCCAAACATGGAACCCTCCATATATATACCATATGTTCCGAATAATTAATAGCTAAGTGTTGAATGACCCATTCTAGCGTTAAATATACATGTGACTAAACAACACATATAATCAAATCTCGCAATGCATATAAGCACATTTAAATATCGACCTTACCTATTCAAACAGGTGCGGGTAGTTGCGACGAACATCCTCCTCACGCTCCCAAGAAATCTCTTCGGCTCCTTGCCGGTTCCACTGAAATTTCACTAATGGAAAGACTTTATTTCTATGCTTTTTATTCTCTCTAGCGAGAATGTATAAGTCAAATCATCCTGTATCTCAACCTCTGATGAATCAATCACCCTCTGCTGCTCTTCGTCATGCAAATGCTTCTTAAGCATCGAAATATGAAATACATCGTGTACACTCAACATCGATGTCGGAAGATCTAATCTATATGAAACAGTTCTAATGCGCTCAATAATCCTGAAAGGATCAACATATCTCGGGGCGAACTTCCCCCGTCTACCGAATATTGAACGCCCTTCATCGGTGATACTTTCAACATAACTAAGTCTCCGACCTGAAATTCTAAGGGTCATCTCCGTTGATCTGCATAACTCTTTTGCCTACTCTGTGCAGCAAGAATGCGCTCTCGAATCATTGCCACCTTTTCCGTGGTCTGCCTAACTAGCTCCAGGCCAAGTAATAGACTATCCTCTGGCTGTGCCCAACATATAGGTGATCTGCAAGGCCTTCCGTACAAGGCTTCATACGGCGCCATCCTGATGGTAGCTTGATAACTATTATTATATGCAAATTCAATCAATGGGATGTGATCCTCCCAGCTACCCTGAAAATCTATAACACATGCTCTCAGCATATCCTCCAATACCTGATTCACCCTCTATAACACATGCTCTCAGCATATCCTCCAATACCTGATTCACCCTCTCGGTCTGACCATCTGTCTAGGGGTGAAATACACTGTTAAATGATAACCGGCTGCCAAAAGCATACTGAAAACTCCTCCAAAAATGGGATGTAAAGACTGAGCCTCGATCTGATATAATCGTCTCCGGAACTCCATGCAATCTGACAATCTCTTGAATAAAAATCCTCGTATAGGTGTCCGTCTTTATAAGTCGTCCTCACAGGTAAGAAATTCGCTAACTTTGACAATTTGTCTACTATCACCCAAATAGAATCATTTCCTTTCTTTGATTTATGCGACCCTATTATGAAATCCATGAAAATATTTGCCCACTTCTACTCGAGAATGGATAAAGGCTATAGGATTCCTGCAGGTCTCTGATGTTCTGTCTTAACTTGCTGGCAGGTATAACACTTAGCCACATAATCTGCAATCTCTCTGCGCATACCACTTCACCAAAAATACCTCTTCAGATCCTTGTACATCTTCATTGTGCCTGGGTGAACCGTATATCTGCTGCGATGTGCGTCATCAAAAAGTTCCCTCTTCAGCTGTAGATTGTTCGGCATGACGATCCTGCCCTTCATCCGAAGGCTTTCATCTACTCCAATAGTCCAATCATCCTTGGATTCTTTGGAGATCTTCCCCTTGCGGGTTTGAATCCACGAATCCTCTAACTGAGCTCCGACTACTCTATCTTCCCAAGACGGTTGTACTGATAAAGCTCCTAAGAAAACACTGCTCCTGCCAATCTCTAGCCTGAAATCATAATGACTGAGGGTATAAAGATCCTGATATAGTGAACCCCTTAAAGCTGCTAGCCTGCGACAACGCTTCCTACTCAACACGTCTGCTACCACGTTCGCCTTTCCCGAATGATACTGTATAGCGAACTCATAATCCTTAATAAACTCTATCCATCGCCGTTACCTCTGGTTGAGTTCTTTTTGTGAGAAGAGGTACTTCAAATTCTGCTGATTTGTGAATAACTCTAATTGCACTCCGTACAAATAATGCCTCCACGTCTTTAATGCAAGGACCACTGCTGCTAGCTCCAAATCATGCGTGGGATAATTCTGCTCATGAGTTCTCAACTGTCTTGAGATATAGGCTACAACTCTCTAGGTCTGCATCAATACTCCTCCAAGACTTGATAAAGATACATCAGTGTAGACAACAAAAGTCATATCACTGCTGGCAATAATCAATACTAGTGCTGAAGTCAACTTAGTCTTTAATGTCTCAAATGCCTTCTGGCACTCTGTGCTCCAAATGAACTGTACACCCTTTTTAGTAAGGCGTGTAAGTGGCGTCGTGATCTTCGAGAAGTCCTGAATAAATTTCCTGTAATAGCCCGCCAGACCCAAGAAGCTACGAATCTTTGTAACTGTCTTTGGTGGTTCCCAATCAAGTATGACCTCTACTTTAGCCGGATCTACTGCAATGCCCTCTCGGCTGATGACATGGCCTAAAAATCTGACCTCCGATAACTAGAATTCACATTTGCTAAATTTTGCATACAGCTGGTGTTCCCGCAAAGTCTGCAATGTCAACCTCAAATGCTACTGGTGCTCTGCCTCCAATCTCGAAAAGATAAGAATATCATCGATAAAAACTATCACGAACTGGTCCAAGTATAGACGGAAAACCCGATTCATCAAATCCATGAATACTGTGGGTGCATTGGTCAGCCCAAATGGCATGATAAGAAACTTGAATGACCCATATCGAGTCAAGAAGGCGGTCTTGGGAATATCCATCTCCCGAACCCGTAACTGATGATAACCGGAACGAAGATCTATCTTCTAAACAATACTAAGCTCCCTGCAACTGGTCGAACAAGTCCTTGATCCTTAGTAATGGATACATGTTTCGGATAGTGACCTTGTTCAACTCGCGATAATCAATGCAAAATTGCATACTTCTGTCCTTCTTCTTAACAAAGAGGACCGGTGCTCCCTACGGAGAATGACTCCGTCGAATGAATCCCTGAGACAACAACTCTTCTAGCTAGATCTGTAGATCCCTCATCTCAACAGGCGCCATACGGTAAGGAGCTCGGAAAATCGGCGTGGTGCCTGGTTACAACTCTATGCAGAACTCAACCTCTCTCACTGGAGGTAATCCTGGTATGTCCTGAAAGACATCCTGAAACTTTGAGACTACTCGCATCTCACTCAAATCTGTGCCCCGATTCCATAACATCACCTCCTCGACGTATGCCAGTTATGACTCCACAAACTGGTTGCCTTTGGAGGTCTCTACCACTAACTCAGATCCATCAAAAGCTCGCAAACTGTCTGTCTTCGCAAAACAATCGATACTCACATGGTAGGAAGATAGTCAATCCATACCAAGGATAACATCAAACTCAGACATACGCAATACGATCAGGTCTATCATAAACTCAGAATCGTCCAAGCTGACGGTACATCTCCTACAAACACTCTCTGAACGAGACGTCTCCCCTAAAGGAATAGATACAGATAAAAGAAAATCTAATGGCTGCGCCACAAGCTGGAGACTAACCGAGAAATCGTAGAAGATAAAAGAATGCAAAGCGTCAGAGTTAAAAAGAATACGTGCAGGAAATGAATTCACAAGGAAAGTATCTTCCACCACTATCCCGCTCGCACCATGATCGCGAGGAACTGCATAATCCCTACCAGTCGGTTGTGCTGCATCACCTGGAACATATAAGACTATTTGTCCCTGTTGGATCTCCTGAATCGTTCGAACCTGTCCCTCAATCCTCGGGACTACAAGAGGTGCCTCAATCCTCAATTGCTGACCCTGATCGTGACCCTGAGTGCGATTCTGCTGCTGCTACGGATTCCTACCCTGCTGGCCTGCTACGGGTGCACTGCGGCACTCTGCTGCTCTGTGACCTAGCTTGTTGCAATTGAAACAAGCTCCATAAAACTGGCGCTGCTGCTGAGCCCTCTAATCCTGATGATTGCCCTTCTTATGTGGACCCTGCTGCTGTGGAAACTTATTCTGATGCTGGAGTCCTCTAGAGCCTATAAAAGGTCTCTTACCCGTACCCTTATCTCTTGGCTGTCCTGACTTAGCATTTCCATCTTTACCCTTGATAAACATAGTTGTATCTATCTCCTGGGCTATGGCAGTATCTTCCACCTCCCGCACTGAACGAAATCTTTGAGATACTAGATATCAGCGCAAACCTGGACGAAGTCCCATCATGAACATCTGAGCATGTCTCTCCTCGGTATGCCACATGCCAGTGAATCTAAGTAGTGACATGAACTTACTCTCAAAATCCATCACCGATATGTCCCCCTGTTCCAATCGAGCCAACTCTAACTCCTTTCCTGCTTTCTCTACAACCAAAACATACTGCTCCATGATAGCTACCAGACGAGCTGCTAACAGTGCTAAGAGATCCACTAAGTATTGCGGAGCCTGCTGTGGCTCGGGCTCTCTATCAAAGTAGAGCTTATTACGTAGTAAATAGAATCTCAAGCAGAAAAGGATATAACGTATACCAATAAGTAAATCGTATCACATATTACTCATAGCATGCCTTATTATTCAAAGCAAATAATTCATTATAAAAAAAATATTTGTAATTTTTCGTGCATATATATAATACGTCCTCACTCACATTAGGAATTTCTGGCGGACTATATACACGAATCCTAAGAAACTCTATTCTAACTCCACGACTTGACACAGGATGATCCTAAGAATACTAGAACTAGAGCTCTGATACCAACTGTGACGGGCCAGGGTTCACACAAGGCTGTAGTCCAAGGTAAAACCAGGATGGTCAAACCTACCAAGCACCAAATGCCGTGCTACGACATGTTTCACCATCACAATTACTATCTCTCTAGTGTAAATAACAAATAGGTGAAGGTATAGACAAACAAATAAAAGAAATCGAGTAAAGCCAGATATACACAAAGGAAGCATGAGAATAATCATTAGTGAGCCCAACTAAAATAGAGTAGAAATACCTCTGAGTCTGAAATAAATCTCAAGTACAATGAGTCAAATAAAATATCACTATGACTCTCAGCCTCTACAAAATGAAATACAAGTCTAGAGTCTGAACATAAATAACTAACTGTGGAGTTCTGAAATAACTACTAAATAGTAAATAGCTAGGTGAGATCTATGTAGAAATCTCATCAACCTGCGACTCTCCATGCGCTGGACTCGCTGCCTGAAAGGGGGGAAAACAACGAGCGTCAAAGCGCTATAGCGAGAACATCTCCACCTCTCCCAAGGGGAAGGGATAGGAGTATATAGAAAATAGAGTTAGTACATATACATATGAAATCATTCATAAAATTCTAACTGGAAGTTAATATTTAGGAAATCACAACACGAGAGTTAGTATGTCGAGCGAACCTCATGTATATACAATGTCTCAAATTGTGACTCCCTAAATACTAATTCCAAACTCTATGAATGAAAAGCAATAAACAAATAGATAATACTCCAAACCTCAAACCTGTAGAACAAATATCTCATCGTGATCTACACTCGGGTAGATGGATCTAACTTAAAAGGAACTCATCAAACAAAAGCCAACCAAATACCATGCTGTGTAAGTCACGGTCTCAGAGAAAGCACCCTACTCGCGGGTATTCAAAAATAGAAACCAATTTATAACTTATATTACTTACAAATGTGCATCTCTTATACATTAGCGATACTCTTGTAATATTCTTACTCAATCGTTCAACAGCAATAGGTTTTATCTCTCGATCCTAGAAACATAATATGACGATTCTTTTATAATACTCTTACTCAATCGCCCTGCGGAAATATGTTTCATCTTCCTATTCCAAAAACATAATATGACGATACTTTTATAATACTCTTACTCAATCGCCCTACGGAAATAGGTTTCATCTCCCTCTTCTGCAAACATAATATGACGATACTTTTGTAATACTCTTACTCAATCGTCCTGCGGAAATAGGTTTCATCTCCCAATTCCGGAAATATAATATTTGTGTATTTTTCTTATTTATCATGTTAACACATCATATTTTAAACATACGTGTATATATCTTGGTGTATGTGTCCATATCTGCTGTTTATTGACATTTCAGATGCTAAACAGCTCATAAACATTTTATCATAACAGTATAAGGTCGAGAGACTAGCTCAAAAACTCAAAAGTCGAACAAAACATACACAGGACCACAGACTGTGTGGCGGTCGACCGCACAAGAACGGCGGTCGACTGCGACGGGTTCCAGAGCCTACTCAGGCCTCTATCCTGCACGCGATCGACCACCACTATGGCGCGGTCGACCGTGGACTGATATTCTAGATTCTTAATCTGGTTGTGTGTGTCGTGTTCACCCTGTGTTTAGGTGATTCAAACATGATTAAAACAACATGAAACTTGCTTGAGAGCATTTTCAGATCTTACATACTTCTGTAAATTTATACTTCTGTAAATTTATTCTAAAACTTTTTAACATGGAAAGACCTAGTCTTTATACATATAATATAAAAGAATTGACTTTTATTCATAAACTAGTCAATTTGGCTCTATGAAGCATGTTAAAAATTCTTCAAAATTATTTTAAAACTAGGAGGGGGATTAGCAGAGATGAACTCGCCTGAAACTTGTAGAAAAACATTTTAGGATGCCACGCCAAGCAGATCTCTAATTCAAAAGCCAAAATCACACGAAAAATCTACTTGAAAGCCTCCAATATTCTCTAAGAATCAAATTAGGGTTTATGGGGGTTTGGTGGCTGTTAGGATTCTTAGAAAACTGAGAACATTCGTGAAAGTTTGATATATAAACCAGGAAAAATGAATATGGGCTTTAGAAAACCAAAACCAACTCAAAACAGGAATCTAACTTTTGCAGGTTTCGCGGTCGACCATGGCGGTCAACCGAACTGCGGTTGACCATGACGGTCGATTAGACTGGAATTTTTTTTAGTTACATATATTTGGCCATTGTGCATATTTTGACTCTTTTCTTTTTCATGAATGAACTTGTTTATACGCAAAACACATGGTATACTACTAACATACCATTTAACTGTATTTATAAAAATAAATATTCATAAATCATAATTAATCTCATATTAATTATATTAACATAAATTTTTGGGGTTTTACATAAGAAGAAGGCACCTGTAGCAGCTGTTGATGTTAATCAAGCGTCATAACAGCAACCCCAGAGATAGCAAAAGACTTCGGACTCGAGACTCTAAAAAGAGTACTCCTTCAAGGATGAAAAGGTTCAAGCTATCTTCAAATACCTCCTGTAAAATAACAAAATCAAGCTATCACCTATTATGAATCAGGAGGAAGCTAATAACACTTCGGATCCAAAGTACTGTGCGTACCATAGTAGGATCCTTCATCCCACCAATGCTTGCTTCACTCTTAAGAATAACATTCAAGCCTTGGTCGATGCCAACATCATAATGCCAAAACGAGCCGAATGAGAACGGTACACTCCGAAGAGTATATGAGTATAAACTGCTTCTCATGACTCCGAAGAGTATATGAGCATAAACTGCTTCTCGCTCCTCCAACCAGTATATGAGGTTAAACTGCTCCCTGACACTCCGAAGAGTATACGAGTATAAACTGCTTCTCATCACTCCGAAGAGTATACGAGTATAAACTGCTTCTCACTCCTCCGACCAGTATATAAGGTTAAACTGCTCCTTATGACTCCGAAGAGTATACGAGGATAAACTGCTTCTCATTTCTCTAACAGGTGCATGAAGTTAAACTGCTCCCTACATACTCTAATAGGTATATGGGTCTAAACTATTTCCAACCCTTAACGAGAAATTCTTGGAGAATTTTTCTTAAGGATAACCCGATCATGCAACTGATTTCAATGTTAGGCCCAGTTTCGTAAAGAAACTAGGGATAGATAATTCATATAACGAGAAGTTCCCGGAAGAATGATATATGTTGTAATCTTAGGGATAACCCGGTCGCTACAAAAAATTGATGAATATGAAACTCCCACGTGGACTTTGAATGCTTCCAAGAGTGAAACACATCCTGTAATTACCGTAAAATTTAACACTAGTTAAAATAGTTTTCTAGTATTTTCAAATATCTAATTATTATTTTTAGAAGAGTATTTGTATTTTTCTCGGCCTTATAGAATTTTCTATGATTTAAAAGTCCAAATTTTATATTTATTTAAATAATTTTAATATTTATAAATTTATTTTGTGCGGCAAAAATTTTTAGAATTAATTTGTTGTGTTATCGATACTATTATGTATTATTTTAAGTAATATGTTGTATTATTAATATTATTACGTATTATTTCATATAATACATGGCATTATTAATTACATATTTTTGGTACAATTTGTTATATTATTTCTACTGTTATATATTATTTGTCATATTAGTATAACTGGTATGCTTTACTGTGTATATAATTATCCCATAATTATTTTATTTTAAATGTAAGTAAATATATTTTTATTATTAATTATTCTCATTTAATTGTATAATATGTGTATATTTCGACTATTCTATATCGACTGTTGTATTAACACAACATGTATGTTTTTATTTGTAGATAATTATTCTATAATTAGTTTAATTTTAAATACCCTTAATTATTTATTTTAATTTTTTTCATTAAATACCTAAACCCTAACCCTAATTACAATCATATATATATATATATATATACTATATATATATATATATATATATTATATATATATATATATATATATATTATAATTTATATTTATATATATATACCCACTCTCTCTCTCATCGTATTCTATTTTCATGCCGCCCTTCTCTCTTCTCCTCTCTCTTTCTGCGTCCTCGAAACCGCATGCTCCAACCAAGCTGGCCATGCAATCCCGACGCCGTCTCTCTCGCCTGTCTACCTCCCCTCTGCTTTCCAAACCCCAGTCGCTAAGCTCTGTCCCCCAGCCATCAATGCGACAGGGTACGCACTCTCACCACATCTACCATCTTCGCCCTCTCCTCTGCTTAGGCCACCTCAGCCGGTCGGCCTTCGCCGTATGAATATGACAGCAGCACTGAGCCGTCGGCGCTTGGCCACCACTGCACCGATAACCAGGGCCTACTCTGGCTGTCAGATCCGCCCCAAGCCAAGGTCGCCTACCCCTTCCCTTGGCAGCGCTATCCCCTTCTCTCGGCGAGCCATACAGCCAATCTCACGGAGTACCCTTGCGCTCCTCTCCCCTTCACCGCCCTGTCCCACGACGCCTAGATCCTACTGTCTCTCCACCTTGACAGCGCCGAACCTAACCCCACAGCCTCCTCTGTTTATCCCTATGCCCCCCGTCGAGCCATCATTCAGCCCACGCGCCCATCACCTTCTCTACCGCCCAGCGCCCGTCGCTGCCGGGCCGCCGTCACCCCTAGTGCCGCCGACGACCTACTCCAATCCACCACACCACCTCCCGCTACCCCGTGTCGTGCCTAGCTCA